AGAGGGCAAGCAACCTGGCTAGGGTCACACAGCAGCATCTTGAGAGTCTAGATTGCTAGACAGCCACCTGGCCGTGCCTTTATGGGTCCTCCATGGCCTGGCTTTGGGGTTTGGCGCCTGTAGGGGTCAAATCATTAAGTACATGTGGAGGAGGGTGGCCATGCTGGGTGCTCCATGGCTCTGCCTGCTGTCAGGTCTTCAACCATTGATCCTTCCCCTGTCCGTGTGGGGTGGCCACAGCCAGAGCTCCGGACAGAGTGGCAACTCAGCACCTGGACAGGGGCCTCCCTGTGTCCCTCAGTCCCAGCTCCCAGCCCCCAGGTCCCCTAATGCACAGAATCAAAATGGTCCCTTGTTATTGGTGAGAAGAGGGAACAAGGCTGTTCCCAGACCTCGCAAGCAGAGCCCCCGACTGGTGAGATGTGCGGTGGTCCTCACTCCCAGGCAATGGGCTCAGGGCAGGCCCAGGGCGGCCCCCACCCAGGACCCTTCCTCCAGACCCCAGCCCTCTGCCCCTTCTGCCCACATGTCATGTGGCCTCTCTGAAGTGTCCATCTGCCCAGATCTCCCCCTGGCCTGACACTCATTTGCTGCCCCTCTGGAGCCCCTCTTCCACCCAGGCACGCAGCTGGGTTTGGGGGTGGTTGCTGCAGTGTCTGTGCTGGGCACAGGCTGAGTGAGGTTCCTCCATGCCCTGCCTGCACCTCTCCTGTGTTTACAGGGAGGGAGTAAAGGATCTCAAAGGTGGTCTCTTCCTGGGCAAGGCCTGACCCCTCCAGGGGAGGAGAGGCTGAGGATGGGTGTCGAGCCAGCTCTCTTTGTGAGACCCTTAGGGACACTGGGGCTGTCTGTGACTGCTCTGGGGCATTGCTGGCTCTGTGTTCTTGGAAGGCCACTTAGGGCCACAGGGAAGCCTGAGTTCAAATCCTGCCTCAGTTTCCTCATCTGTAAAGTGGGGTAACCCTTCTCTGGTTGATTCTGTATGACCCAGAGCAGGGCCTGGGAGGGGTGGGCTTGGTGTCTGTCCTCTCCCTCCGGGGCCTCTGAGCACCTTGAGCCTACAGTGCCCACCTACTCAGGGTATGGAAGCCTGGTTCCCTGGTGTCATGCTGGGGAAGACCCAGAGCTCAAGTCCCCTCCCCTAGAGAGGACAAGGCTTGGACATGTCCCCTGAGCTGCTCCCTGGGGACCAGTGGTGACAGCCTCAGCCTCTCAAGCAGACAGACTGGCCAGGGGGTGGGCATACCTGGCCGGGGGAGACCCACACAGTGGCTGTGTCCCTGGATGTGGGCGTGGCTCTGGTTTGGCTGTCTTACCTGCTGACATCTGCTATGGCTTGGGAGGGCTTGTGCTGATTGATGTCAGCAGCCAGCAGCCTGTGCGTGTGTGCACCTGTATGTGTGCATGTGTGTGTGCGCCTGCCACAGAGGGAAGAGCCCGCAGGGCCAGGGGCCCTGTGTTCACCCCTCCAGACCACTCTTTGGGCATCAGGACCCTGGAACAACTCACAGACTCCTTGGGCCCCTCCTGTGCCTGCACTGGCCTCTCCTGAAGGTAAATTCTCATTGTGGCCTATCCTGAGGGCTGAGGAATGCTGTCTGGGGGCAAGGGTTAGGTGAAGCTGGGCTATGCGGGCTGGGGTAGCCATGTGCACACTGGGTCGGGCAAAGTCAGGGTGGGAGGGAGGGAAGGGAGGTGGAGGGTGGTGGGCCTGGCTCCTTCCTGGCAGCCGCATCTTGACGCTAAACTCCACGGAGTCTGCCAGGCTTCCCGTGGTGTTACAGGGGTATATGTGACAAGGTAGGAGGGGACAGTCTTTTGTTTGTTAGCTAAATGTATAACTTCTAAATACTTTGAACTGTTTTGATGCATGGCATGTGGGCTTAGTTCATGGCTGTTTCCCAGTGCCTAAAACAGTCCCTGCCACACAGTGGGAGCTCGGGAAGGGTTTGCTGTGTGGATCAGCCACACTGTCACACCCACCTCCCCTGTGCTCATCGCCAGCTGTCCCCAAACACCATCAGCTTCTTGAATGCATGAATGACAATCAAGGCAGGTCAAGGCCAACTACTTCAAGGGGAACTTTATTTACTCCTTGTAGCAGCGTGCCAACGCCCATGTCAGCCGGGACACGGCCGCTCCACTGCCACTCAGTTTGGACCCAAGACTGCCTGGCACTGAAAACACATCAAAACATCAACTCTCTGCCCTTTTTTTCCTTTTTTTTGTTTTTTTTTTGGTACAAAATGATACAAACAACAATACAAAATAGTTGTGCTGTTGACGATTACAAAAAAAGTTGGAACATCTGTCTAACCGCGCAATGCTCAGAGTTGCAGTGTGAACACATCATACTCCAGAATCTTTCCCGAAACAACCACGGTCATGCGGGCTGCTACACATTTTGTCCATTTTCAAAAAGAAACATGCAAAAAATCAGAATGAAAAAAGGAGAGAAAGGAAAAGTAAGATGCGCTCCAATTGTACGGAGGTGACCCCACTGGACGGGCCGTGCCGAGCAGAATCTATGGATGTGCCTCACGGCGCCCTGCGTGGATCTTCCATTCTGATTTCTCCTCATTTAGGACTCACACTGGGCAGAAAGGGACACTCCCTCTCCTCTGACTTTCCACCATGGAGAGAACAGAGTTGTCATCTCCATGGACCATGTGTGTCCACTGGTGCACATGCTAGGGAAACTGAGGCATCTCTGGGGGCCAGTTGGCCATTATCTGACACTTTGGTGGCGGGAGGCCTAGTGTTGTGGACGTGCTGTAAGACTCGAGAAACACCCTGTGGGCTGGAGTGGGGTGCCTGCGGTCAGGCAGAGACGGCCTCTGCTCTGGCCGGTCCACCCTGAGGTGCTGCTGCTCCCTTTCCCAGGACAAAGATTCCCTAAGGAAACCAGACCCTGGCCCCTGCTCTCTGCGCTGCCGCCGAATCACCCAGTCTATCTACAGGCTACAAAAGAGACGTGTGACACGGATTGTGTGCTGAGCTGATTCTAACTCAGTGGGGAAGTGGGTCTGGGAGGATGTGGGAGCCCATCTTTCTCCAGCCCCTAGGACTGAAGGGGTAGGGGCAGGGAAGGCAGCAGGAGGGGCCGGGGAGCCCATGGGTGTCCCCTAGCTGGTGCTGCAGATTTGGCCTGTGGGATTTCAGCCAAATGCAAGGGGGGCTTGGCCGTGACAGGTGTTGGGAGAGGAGGGAGGCAGGTGCAGACATGCTGCCCACTTCTGCGGGGAGCCAGAGGGAAGAGTTCATGCTGCCTCGGTGCCCACGTCCGGTTATGCTGATAACAGCCCACTCACACTTCTCAGGCTTAGGGTTTGGACTGAAGGATAAACTTTCCAAAACAACAAAAACAGAAACCCTGGCTCCCCTCCCCTGGCCCCACCTGCCACAATCCATGCCCCAGACACTCAGGACACCCTCATTTGCATAGCAGCTTAGCCTGGCGGCCACTCCATGGCTGCTGTGCCTGCTCCTGGCCTGGCTGCCTGTGTGATGGAGTGCCCTGTGCCTGTCACAGTGCCCCCAGCCCTCCCTCCCTTTCTGGCCAGTCATGGGCGGGGTCAGAGTGGGAGATGGGTTTGGTTGGGAGAGAGACCCTGACGTCCATGGGAACATGCCACATGAGTGACACATGCTCATGCCCTCAGGCTGGAGCAGCTTAGAAAAGGGGTGACTTCAGCAATGGTGAAGGCCACAGGCTGAGGACGGCAGCAGGCCACATACCCCAAGTGGAGAAGAGAACATGCTGCCCCCACAGGTAGCCCCCAACTTCCCCTGCCCTCTGGGGTGCTCAGCAGGTGTCAATGCTGGGGCCCCCCTCGGTAAGGGGGCTCTGGCACCAAGTCCTGCCCAGGGCCACTGCCACCCTCACTCCCTTCCCCGAGGAGTGTGTTGTGTGTGGCCTGGGTGGGCCAGAAAGCTGACCACACACAGGTCCCCCTCGAGGGAGCTGCCCCTGCCTTGGCCACCCTGCATTAGGAACACACCAGGCGAGCCTCCCGTCCCAGCTGGAGCTGCCCTGGGTCCTTGGGCACATCTCCTTCACTATCCTCCCCCAGTCGAGCTTGAGAATCAAATGCTCCTGGAAACAGCAATGCCAGCTCTGAGGGATGACGGCCCTACTGTCCCTGGGGGCTGCTCGTGGCTGACATGGGCCCAAGGAAAGGAATTTACCGTTTCTGGTATGCGGAAAACGGCGGGCTCTCCCCAGCCATCTGGAGCAGAGCTCTGCTGCCCACATAGACTGGGCAGGGTGTACATCCACATGGGCGGGGAATAGAGTTTGCTAGAGTGTCCTGCAGGAATCAGAGGCTGGCTGGTGTCTGCAGCTGGAAGGAGTCAGCACCCAGCCACCTGCACAGCCCCAGGGTTGGCCACATGTTCTTGGGGCCTCTGATGGGGTCCCCTAGAGTCCAGTCACAGCCGTGGAGGGCTCAGATCAGGGCTTTGCAGGTTTGAGTCGTGTCTTCTAGATGCATACTCTCCTGGGTGGCATTTGGGGTGACAGATGGCCCTGATGGTAGCCTTGGCTGACTAGGGGGCCAGGGTGTGGCTGAGGGCAGCGATAGGAATGTCTCAGATGGTCCCTTGGACCCCATGTGCCCCAGCTGTTCACAGCATCTGGGAGTGGTTGGGGGGACCAGCCACAAACGGGTGAAAGCCAAATCTATGGTCCTGCTTGTCTGAGGGACCCTTCTGCTGTGGAAAATGAGGGCTGAACCCCCACCCCAGCTATCCTGGGCCCCCCCAGACAAATTTGTTTTTTCAAATGAGTCACCCACTGTCCTTTGCTTAAGAAAAGACCAATTACAAAAGAAAAAAATTAAAAAAAGAAAGACACATTCTCTCCCGTTCCTTCCTTAACGGATGCTGGGGTGAGCGGGGCTGGGGCCACTTGGGGCTGGAGTGGGGTGAACCTGCCTGTCTGCTGCTGGTCACTCCTGAGTTTGAGGGAATCTGATACATGCACCAAAAGGCACTTTCAATTTTTTTAAACAGTGCTCCTGCTCTGAGAAATTCAAGTTAAGACAGAGTGCCTCTCGCTCTCCTCAGTGACAAGTTGGCGGCCGCTGCGCCAGGCAGCGCGGGCGCTGGGGGAGTGTTCATGCTGGACAGCTCAGTGCCAGGGAGGCGGGGCCTCCTAACACACCGCGGTGGCCTCGCGTTGTCGCGGGGAGGGTCGGAGCACTGGCCTCTGCTCAGTCCTCCTCCTCTGTGTCCCAGCGCTGCTGCTCTCATTTCAGTCTAGAGACAGGCGGCCCGCTAGTCCTCCTCGCCGCCTCCGTACATGTCCGCCAGCTTCTTGAACCTGGGCCCCCAGTCGTTGAGGTAATCGTAGTCTTGGTCCCCGGAGCTGGACGAGTTCAGGGAGCTGACAGAGCCTGCGGTTGAGCCACTGCCCTCATAGTCGAAGACCAGCAGGGAGTCATAGGGGGGTGCCGTGGGGTCATTGTCAGCTGCTCGGAGCCCCTGGGGTCACGGAGACAGGTGAGGGTGAGGCTGTGCTGTCTCCACCATGACCCAGCACAGCAGGTGGGAGTTAGGGCAGGAAGCTGGAGTTACAGGCCTTGCATGCAGCAGCTGCTCCAGACTTGCTGCCTGCATTTAACTGAAGGGGTGTCAGAGAACTGAGTGGGGAGGGGCATTTATGAAAATGGAAGTAGGGGGGTTGTGGGAGGAACGATCTCAGACGCCAGCAGCAAAAGGGGCCAGAAGGGCCGTGTAGGGCCTGTGGCAGGGGCAGCTGCTAAGGGGCAGAGAGGCATGACCCACCTGACCATTGCCCCGGGAACGTGGGCCTGGGGCGGCCAGAAGTAAGAGGGGAAATCATCAGGTTAGACAGTCCCACCAACAAAATCTAGCCTCTCCTTCCATTCTCACAGGTGTGACCTCCACCTGGCGTTGGAGGACAGGATCTCTGCAGAGCCTGAGCTGAGGGGGAGCTCAGAGCAGCTGCCAGCAGGCATTCTGGGGGGACGTCTGTCCTGGTTCCAGCTGTCCCTCCATTGCTCTACCAGGAGGGAAGACAGCAGTGGCCAGTGAAGGCAGGAGGTGGCACCATAGGGTTCCCCAACTAAGACACAGCAGTGCTCCAAACTGTTTTGCAAAGGGGGAATAGGGCCCGAAGGGTTGTTGGTGCCAAGTTGCCTCCAAACCCTGTGCTTAAGTGGCAGCTCCAGAAGGAGGTCACCTCTGGGGTGGTTCCCACCTGCTGCTTGGGGTGGGAACAGGGGCTGGCCTGGGGCTTCCTGAGACCAGGTGTCCTTGGGCTGTGCCCGTCTGGCCTGGGGATGAGGGGAGATGGGGGAGGGCCATGCCTGGTGGCAATGAGCCAAGTGTGCAATTGGCACGAGGGTCTCCTTATACCCAAGTGCTGTGCTGCCATTGTCTCCTGTGTCACCTCCTAAAAGTTATTCTTACCGAAGCACCTGCTGCACCCATCCCTGTTAATCCCCATCCTGCCCAGAGCCCAGAATCTCAGTCCTCGGTGAGGAGGATGTGGAGGGCAGAAATTCATCCAGCCACACAGCAGGAATGGCAGGGCCCTGAGCTGGTCTGGTCCACCTGCTCACCCCACATACCCTCAGCCTGTCCTGTGAATTGGACTTTATCTTTAGAAGGGACTCCCTGCTCGGGCCTCCTGTGGCCAGGGCACCCACCTCATTGATGAAGTCGCCGATGTCACCTGGGTGTGGCACCACGGGCCTGGCTGGGTACTGGGGCTCGGCACCCACTGGCCGCTCATCCACCCTCCGCACCCCGGGAGCCTTGCCCAGCACGTGCTCCATGGCTTCTGGCTGCTGCAGCTGGCTGAGGTCATAGTCCTGGGGAAGAAGCCAAGAGGAGTCAGCAGGAGGCCCAACGGGGCAGGGAGGGCATGAGAAGTTACAGTGACAGGTGTCAGGAGTGTGCCCTGAGTGTAGCCCATCCTGTCCAGTGCCTAGGCCCAGAGTGCCTCTCATCCTGTTTTGTACTTTGGGCTCTGGGCACACCTGGTATCCTGTTTCATCACCACTCTGCCCTTCCCACAATGCCCCTGTCCTTGCCACGCCCCTGGCAGGTGTGAGTCTGTGCCGTGCTGCCCTAGATAGTCTTCTGTGCTCCAGAGTGACTCCACCGCCCAGGCTGCTTAGTACCCCCCAGTGCTCAGATGAGGAGTGGCCCTCCCTCCGCGCATCTTCCTCGTGTGCTTATTTGCAGGCTGGGACGCAGAGGGGCTAAGCCGCAGGAGTTCCTGAGTCCCCCAAAAGCCCATCATGAACCCAGATTCCAATGAGCCGGCTCTCTGCAGTCCACCCTCCTGGGCACCAATCCCTGTCCCTGGGCACTTGGCAGCTGGGTGAGGATGCATCTGTGTCCCCAGCCACCTATCCCCCTTCCCTCTGGGACACAGGGTAGCACTGGGCTAGCTGTGTGCCCTGCCGGGAGGGAGAAGGCAAAGTGGGGCGGCGTCACAGGCTCCTCGTGGAAGGCACAGCCCAGCCTGGTCCAGAAACATGGACGTGGGCAGAGGATGAGGTCTGGGAAGCCGAGTCCCCGTGTCCTGCTCTGCGTGTCCTCCAAGGAACGTGCAACACCTTCACGCCGTGAGAGAGACCTCGTGTCAGCTCTTAACGCCCGCTGTGGAGGGCGCAGAGCTGCGTCTCACCTGGTCCTCCTCGCCTCCGCCTTCCTCGTCATACTTGAGGATGTTGTCCCGCACGTCGTCCTCGGGGTCGATGAGCAGCTGCTTCGTGTGGCGCTCCTTCTCCCGCCGCTTCATCCACACCACAAACAGCAGGACCATGGCTGTGGGGGTGGGTGCACCGTGAGGATGTGTGCAGGCCTCTGTGTGCCCACGTAGGCACGTATGTGCAAGCATGCACACAAGTGTCCCACTATGCACACAGGTGTGACCACGTATGCCTGTGTGTGCACCTGTGCCCGTGTGAGCATTCACATGTATGTGCACACACACGGGCAAGTGCACATACATGCCGCCCACGAGCAGATGCGTGCCTGTTTCGTGCCTGTGTAAGCGTGTGCTATGTGCATGCATGTTCATGTGTGTCTATGTCCGCACACATGTCTGCACACATCCATGGGCATGTCTTTGTGTGTGTCTTACATTTCCTTCCCGTGTGGATGTATGTCACTTGTGCACAGGTGTGGGTCCATTTGCACATGTGACATGGGCACAGGCACCTGTGTGCCTTCAAGTGTATCTGTGTGTGCAGTGTCCAAGGCGGAGCTGGCTATCTCCGTCCCTGCCCAAGCCCTGGGGGACTCTCTGACGTATTTACTCATTTTCCTCCTCCCACTCCCCAATTGAGGAGGCACCTCACTAAGCGCACACCTTGCCACTCGTGGGCAGGAGGACATGGGGCTGAGGGACCCACTAGAAAGTCCTCTGACAATCAGGCTTCCTGACAACGGGAGGTGAGGGCTTGGGCAGAGTGGGGGTTTGGGGGCAGGGATCACAGAGGGATGGAGAGAGGTTCCCTCTACCTTGTAGGAGGCTGTGCCCTGGGGGGAGCTCAGAGAGGGGCTTATGAATGGCCCCATGGGTCTTGCTGCTGGGGGAGGGATAGACAGCAGCCAGCTGAGCACCAAGGGGTGGGTGGGGAGAAGAACCAGGGTTTTTTTCCACCACCCAGAGAAACTGGGGTGCAGGCTCACAAGTTCAGGTGCATGTGGAACTGAGAAGAGGCCATGCCCCTGCCCCATGCTTGGGGATGGAGGGGTCCCTCTCCCCAAACCCTTTGGTCTGTGTCCAGGCCCTGCTTCCCCAACACTCTTTCCTGGGTGCCTCTGCTCCTAGCACAGGCTCTCTGGTGGTTGGCGCTGATCCCCTTGGCTGTGTGGCGTAGGGCCTGTGTCTGCCACAGGCCCAGGAGGGGGTGCCTCTGCCTGTGGCCCCACATATGCCTGTACACATCATTCCATCACACCTTCCCACAGGCTCCATCATCTCCCCATCTTACAGATGTGGAGACCAGGCCCCAGAAGTGATAAGCACAGCCCTGGACCCAGCAGAGGGTGAGTCAGGGGCCAGGACGAAGGTCCCTGGAGCCTGCCAACCCCAGCAGCTGTCTGAGCACTGTGAGTAGGATTCTGAAGCCAAGTGAGGGAAGAGCTCTGTGAGGGCCTGACAGCCGCTTCTGTGTAGGCAGAAGGCCAAAGGGCGGCTGGGGGACCCTCCCTGACCTGACCCAGATTGCAGAGAAGGAACTGCAGACCAGGAAGGCAGAGCCCACCGACCTGGAGAGCAGCTGAGCGAGAGCCTAGAACCTAGAAACTGGTCTCAGCTGCAGGATGGAGAAGCACCAGAGAGGCCAGCTCCACACTCCAATCAAAACGCAGGTGGTGTCCACAGGGAACAAGAAGAGGAGGTGGTGGGGGCCACCCCAAACCCCCCTGAGGGGCCCACAGGCCTGCCAGCGTTTCTGCCCACAGACCCTGGCCCCCGGCCAGACCCTGGCTGTCCTCCAGAAGTGGCCCAGGTCCCCCCAGTCAGGGTCTGACACCCCTGCCCACGGGGCTTTCAGCACTGTCCTGGTGTGTCCTTAGGGCAGGGACCCCCCCATGCCACAGAGCCACCTCCTAGCCTCCAACCAAAAAGGTCGATTACTCTGACTTCAGCTTTCAAAATAAACCTCAGATATAGAATAAAAGGCAGCATTTAGAACAGTGATGATCTGGGAATAGAACAATAGCAGAGGCCACATAAAATCGGTGTCCTTTGGACGAGCTAACTTTAGTCCCCAGGGTGTTAGGTCAGCCACAGGCTGGGTCTGTGGAAGGGAAGGTGGCGATGTGGAGTGTGGAGTGGACAGGAGTGGAGTCCTCCCTGAGCCAACAACCCCCTCCCCGCCCCCCGCCTTCCACTGAGGTCCCTGGGCTCTAAGACCAGGTGCCTCTCCAGGTGCGAGGAAGGGAGTGGGGTACACGGGGCAGTCAGCAGCACCCTGCCCCTTCCCCACCACTCACTCCTGTTCCAGGACCCAAGTGGTTCAGGGAAACCCAAGATACCAGGGAGCAGGTGATCTGGGGGGGTGTCCCACAAGCATGCTTATTCTCTGGCTGGTGATTGGCTCCAAGGCGTACATGTGACCTGAGCCAGCCAATGAGAGATAGTCCTGGGACTCCCACCCCAGCTTTCCCTGCTGACTTCCTGCAGGGAGGCTTTGGGAGGCAGAGCACAGCCCTGGGAAGGGCCCTGTCTGTGGAGACAGCTGCTCCAAGGCCGGGGCATACTTGAGAGTGAGGGAGCCCCCAGTCCTTCATTAGCATATACCCAGCTCAAGGAGTTTCTGGAAAGTTCCTAGTTGATGAGATGATGCTGAGAGAAGAGGGCTGTGAGGCAAGTCTGAGCCCTGCCTGCATGGCCATCCTAGGACGGAGCCTGGGAGGCCCCGAGCCCCAACCTGGCCACCCTAGGATGGATCCCTGCACCTGGGAGGCCCCCACCCTGACCTGGTCACCCTGGGACACAGCACTGGCACCTGGGAGGCCCCCACCCTCAACCTGGTCACCCTGGGACAGAGCACTGCCATGGGGACCGCCCCCCCCCGCCACCTGGGGCAGAGCACTCGCCCCGGGACCCCCCACCCCGTGATACTCACTCAGCAGGATGAGGATGCAGATGAGGATGGCGACGATGGCCCCGGTGCCCAGACCAGCTGCTGCCACTGCGCCCACGGTGGTGCAGTCACCATTGTCGTCACATGGACACACCTTGACTTTGATGATGGACGTGTTAGTCAGGGGCGGGTTCCCAGAGTCTGTGACGATGATGGGGACATCGTACACCCCGGCCTCCAGGTACAAGATGCGTAGGCTGAGCTGAGCGTAGTCACCTGGCGCAAAGAAGCAGCAGACGCTTGGCCTCCAGTCCAAGCAGGACTCTGGAGGAAAGGCTGAGTCTGATGCCACGGAGATCTAAAGCGTCTGCTCAGTGGCACACGCATACACACCGTGACATGTCATTAAGTTAAAAGACACTGGAGATGCAGGAAAAACCAACTGCCTCAGGATGAAGAAATAATTTCCTGAACATATAAGGAGTTTTACCAAATCAATTAAAAAAGAACTCCATAAAGAAAAATAGGCAAAGACATTGAACAGGCAGTTCACAGAAGAGACAAAAAAGGCTATAAATAGGTCCACTCTGTTCAAGGGGTGCAGATGGAAACGATGATTTTGGCCATAAAATTGGCAAAGTGCTTTTTACAATGGTAATGTTCAGTGTTAGTGAGGGTGTGAGGAACAGCCCGGTTGTGGAGGAAGCAGACCCGTTTCTAGAGAGCATTTGCACAACACTGAAACTCCAGCACTCTGACACCCTCGCATACAGCAAACCCAAGTCTGGGAAAGTACCCTAAGGAGTCTTATCAGTGAGGAATCTTATCAGCTGGAAACTGGCCTGGAAGTAACCAAGGCTGTGTGTAGTCACAACTGCTGGACGCTCACCGTGGCCTTGGAGCTCGTTAGGACATGGGGAAGTTGGGATGACTTTGCGCCTCCCACCCCCATGGCGTGAGCACTGCCAGCGAGGCTGGAACTGGACAGCCCTGGAGGCCATCTCTCACCTCTGGCTCTCACTCTCATGGGGCAGGTGGGCCCTGGGAGTCCTGCACCCCAGACTTGGTCAGATGCTCCCCGCAGCTGGGCACCAGTGGGTGCGGCCCTGGGCCCAAAGCAGGCTTACCATTTAAGCGTGTGATGGTCCAGTTCTTGCGCACGGCAGCTGGGACGAAGGGCAGCTCAAAGACGTAGGGGCCGATGTTGGGGTCGACGTCGGCGTCGGCTGCCGTGATGTTGATGGCATTCAGGCCAGGCTTCTCACAGATCTGGGCCTCCTTGGGCAGCAGCTCAGGGGCGTTGTCATTGATGTCAATGAGATAGATCTGGAGGGTCCCGGTGCCACTGGCTGGGGGGATTCCTATGGGATGGACATGGGATGACCACTTGGGGACAGATAAGGACACACCTACAGTCCCATAGCCAGATGCAGGACATGGCCATCCACACAGCTGTGTGCTGGACTCACCCACTGCCCAGTCATGGCTCTGGCCCAGTGCTGACACCTGTTAGAGGCAGCCACTCAAGTGCAAATGCAATGTCAAGAGGTGCCCACGCGACCACACAGACAGCAGGGGTGCCAGCCGACAGCCAAGAGCACAGGCACGGTGGGGGTGTGTCCACGGAGAGCCCTGCTCGACGCACCCCACTAAGTTCAGAGCTGCCTGTGGTCACAGCTACACACTGGGGAACCCGTACCCTTGGGTATCCAGAGAGGGGCTCTGCACAGGCCCTTGACAGCTGGGACCTGCCCCTGAGCACCTTCCCCAGGACAGGGCTGCCTGGGGCAGCACCTTCCCTTGTCCTCCTGCAAGGCCCAGACACATAGCCTGAACAGAGGGACAGGGGCTCCCATAATGAGCTGTGCACCAGGGTACCCCAGGTGTAGCAGGTGGTCCCCATGAGGGCTGCTGTGTAGACAAGTTCCCTGTTGGGCTGCAGTGACCCTCAGGGTCCACGCTGCCTGAAGCTCCCACATACCCAACCCCCTGCCTCAGTGGCAGGCCAGTGGGGCTGGTGGACACCTGCTAGGCCACCAGCTTCGGGGGACAGAGAGAGGCCATGTCTGCCCTCCAGGCTGGAGGTGGTGGCTATGGCGGTGGCAGCAGCAACATTCTGACCAGGGCTCTCTGCCTTTTGATGGCAGCTCCTGGTCCTGAAGTTAACAACCTGGGCTTTGGCTGAGGCTGGTGAAGTGTTTAAGACATTTTTCCTACAGGATGTCTCTTTAATCTTCCAGAAGATGCATCAGAACATGTTTAAGGTGACAGCCTGGCATTGCTTTTGAAAACCACTCTGAGAAGTGGCTGATGACACAACACGTGATGCAGGAAGTGTAGACCGGTCCGGCTAACCTGGGGCTCCCACACTGACCCTGCATGCCAGAATGATTCCACACAGTGTCTTCCCCGAGCTGCCCCAGCTCTGCTGTCGCAGTCCCAGGTCCCTTTACCATCACCTTCCCATCTAACAGTGCTCCGGGGAGAGATGAGCTCCAGAGTCGCTTTGCCAGGGTGTGCCCAGTGCCTGGCTGACACAGACTCTCCAGGCTGTGCCCAGCGCCTGGCTGACACAGACTCTCCAGGCTGTGCCCAGCGCCTGGCTGACACAGACTCTCGGTTATACCCTAGTGCCTGGCTGACACAGACTTGCTTGATGACGGAGGTGCTGGACTGAACTGTGGTCCCAGAGTCTTCACTCCCACCCCTGCTGCCACTGTCCTGCTCCTCAAGACTCCACTCACATTCCTCAGGAAGCCTGAGTGGTCTAGGACCCTCTTCTGGCTACCTCTGCTCTGACTATCCTCATCTTCCCACCCAGGATCCTGGGGTCCTTCACTGTGTCACCTGTCCTGCAAGGGGTCCTGGGGACTTGCTCTCTGCCCCCCACTGTGATTGAAGGCTGCAGGTGTTATGAGTGGTTACAGCATGAGGGTGGCACCCAGGGGCTGCTCAGGGGCAGGGCTGCGGACCAGTGGGGCTGGGCTGTCTCTGTCTTTTGGGTCCTTTGCAAGGGCTGCTGGCTGAAACCGTTGCCAGGTCTGGTTCTAACAGTTGGTTTTCAGGTGGGGAAACCCAGTAGCTGTTCAGGTGGCATTGTTAGGCAAGGCTGTTGGCCGCCAACCCTGTCTGCCCTGGCACCCCCAAGTGAGTAATGGTGGGAACCACAAAACGGGGACAGGTGAGTGGGTGACGGCAATTGGGCAGAGTGACAGTGAGGATGAGTGGAGGGGCTGGAGCCTGGGGGTGCTGAAGGATAGGAAGCCTCGACTCACAGTGTCACATAGACAACCCCTCGCCCACTCTCCAGTCCCCCAGGTCCCCTCAGGGTGCTTGAATGGCCTCCTGCTGTTCCTTTGGCCAGTGCCCTTCCTGGCCCACAGAACCAGATGTAGAACCACCACGGAGACAGCCACCTCCCCGGAACGGAGCGCACCGTTGTCAGCTGCCAGGAAGGTGGCCTCGTAGACGTTGTTTTTGATGTAGAGGGACTCGCGATCGAGGACTGCCGCTGTGGTGATCTGACCATTGGTGGTGTTAATGTGCAGCCAGTTTGCAGGGTCTGACAGCTTTGAGTATCTGCAGAGAGAGAATGTGAGTGTTTGCAAGGTCTGACAGCTTTGAGTATCTGCAGAGAGAGAATGTGAGTGGGAGGCTGGGGGCTGGGCGAGTGGCTGCCCTGGACCCTGGCCCTCCGCCCCCTAGGGTTGCTTGACAGCCGCATATCCTGGCAGGGGCCAGCACTTCCACTCTTTGGAGCACCTGGAGCCGTGGAGCTCCCTCCACCTTGTATGGCCCCCATGGGGGACTGGCCATAGCAGTGGCCATTGGCCACTGGGCTTGGTCTGAGGTGAGTGTCCCAACCTCCTGCAGGCCCTATAAGCAGCTGCTCTCATCGTGTCCATTTCACAGATGGGGATACCACACTGAGGAACAGAGAGGGTAACTGACTTGGTAAAGTCCCACAGCCAGGGAGAGTCCTGCAGGATCAGAACCTGTGTAGATGTCCACACCCTCCCACCTCGTCCCTCTGCAGGCCGTGGAGGTGATGCCCTGCACCAGGCGCCTGGGGCCAGGGCCACTACTGCTGCTCCCTGCTTGGGAGACACGGGGTTGAGACACCCCTGCCTGGGCATTCTGTGTTTTGGGATTCACAGGGCATTTCAGGACTCTTTTGGAGGAAAATAGGGGTCTGAAGGTTGGAAGCTACTTTTGAAGGGTCTGAGGGCGGGGTGAGGGGGGCTGTGTCCCAGGAACCCACCTCACAGCTTGTTGCATGAACCGGTCAGGGTCCACAGCTGAAAACGTGGTCAGCACAGTGCCTGTGGGCACGCCCTCCTCCAGGCGGATCAGCTTGTGGTTGGAGGGGAAGTAGGGGGCCTCATTGACGTCCATGACTGAGATGGTCACGCCTGCTGTGGACTGGAAGGACATCTGGATCCCACTGGCCAGGGGCGCCTGGTTGGACACCATCACGGTCAGCATGAAAGCTCTGTTCAGCTCGTAGTCCACGGCCTAGAACGAGAGGTGGGGGGTGAGCTGGCCCAGCTCCATATGTGGGTGGTAGCGGCACCCAGGCCAGGACACCGGCTGGTTGTCCCCTCTCCTGCCCTGAGCTACTGCCGGCTTTCCTCTGCCCCAAGTGGTCTCATTGCTGGGAAGCCTTTGTCTTCTGGTTTCCCTCTGGGTTTGGTCCATGGTGGGAGAGAGAGGCTGGGGTAGAGCTTGGGCTGGCCTGCCCCATGCCATGGCGAGGCAGGAGCTAGGTTCCCCGGGGCTAAAGCCCCTGCTGGGTGGCCCCCTTCCTGGCCCTGGAACCCCATCCCTCCCCTGCTCCTTTAAGCCCAGCATGGTGGAGGCTCTGATGCTGCTCATCTTTCCTCAAGGAAAGGCTTTGCTCCAGCCTTTCCTGACATATTGGGGAGTGAGGGAGGTTTGCTCATGGGTCTCGTCCTATCGCGTGGATTTTAGAGTCATACTATCTTACATTCTCACATTTTAGGTATGATGTTATTTGTACACTTCTAATGTATACCGTAGGATAAAGTATTAAGCAATTACGTTAGTATTTTTAGCAACCAAGACTTTTAGTGTCTATAAGAAATGAGAAGCAAGTATGAAACTAATGAAGTTAAGTGAAATCCCTCTGATATTAAATTCGATTAAATGAACCATGTGAATTAGTGAAATATATATATATATTTTATTGTTGGGGATTCATTGAGTGTACAAGAAGAGTGAAATATATTTGAGATAATCAGAGTAGCACATGCTCTGACATTTCACTCAGAAATGTCCTCACAGCTCAGAGTGATGAGCACCTCGTGGGCCCAGATGTTGGTCTCTGAACGCCATTTCTCACCAGGGAAGGCTGACTCTGGTGTGGGGCAAGAACCCACAGTGGGTGGACACTCCAGGGATGGGCAGCTGGCAGTGGAAGGAGGGGGAGCCACCGATGAGGCTCCTGCTTGCCAGAAGTGGGACCATTTTAGCATCAAAGACAATGATGACAGTAACTGATCAAAACGCACTGGACGCATAAAAATCCATGCTCTTGATGATGAGGAAGTGACAAGCAGAACAGAGAGATTTCCTTTATCACTGTGGTCAGCTGAGTAATGGCGTCCAAAGAGCTCCAGGTCCTGATCCCTGGAACCTGTGAACGTGACTTTTCCTGCCCAAAGAGACTTTGCAGACCTGGGTAAGGCAGGAATTCTGAGGTAAGATTGGTCACAGCAGCTGCAGGAGACTCAGACAGTCACCAAGACCATTGAGGGTGATAGTGATTTAAAGAATTAAACTTCATCTCACATTTTCTGTTGGACTTTATATTAGTTTTGTGTCTTTCAAAGCAACACACGTGTGTTATCTTGTGCTTCTGGGGCTCCAAGGTGAGAAAATCTGTCTCACTGGGCTAAACACGAGGTGTCGCAGGGCTGGGTCCAGAGGCTCTCAGGGGCCCTTCTCCTTGCTGTCTCCAGCTTTGAGGCTGCGGGAGCTCAGGCCTTTCCTCTGTCTTCAAAGCCGGCAATGGAGCACCTTCTAGTCCTGCCCTGTCTCTGATCTGCTCCACCCTCACATCTTGCGTCCTGCTTATATGGACCACTGAGGCTGCACGGGGCCCCTGAGATAGCTCAGGACAATTTCTCATCTCCAGATCCTTAACCCTGCCTGCAAAGTCCCTTTTTTCATCTAAGACTCCAGGGTCGGGGTACAGACATCCCTGGGGGGGCCACATTACTCCGATGACCACAAGCCTGTATTTCAAAGTACTCACGGGGCCCTTGTTGACGAGGGAGAGCTCTTTGGTACAGAAGAGTTCTCTGTACAAAATGTATGAAGAATGCTAGGATTCTGAAAACCTTTTTACACGGTGATGAAGAACGTACAGAAGCATGTTTGTTGGTGGGCAGGATCCTGTGCGTCACACTGCAGATGGCTTGCTATGTGGAGGGGTCCACACTTTGTGGCTGCACTCCTCTATGAAACCTCTTGGGGGCGGTGCTGGGCCATCCTGGACTGGGCGCCTCCTCCTCAGAGTGCCATGGGCCTGGGCCACTGAGGTCCTGCCAGGTGACACTGCGGGTGTGTGAGATGCCTCCCACAGGCACATTGGGCACCAAGATGGGTGCTGGCAGCTGCAGTGACCAAGGGGTGGCAGGCAACACAGGGGTCGGGCTCCTGCCACCTGCCCCGCTGCTCAGGCTCAGACTGTGAGTGGACACCCAGACCCCTGGGCTTCCAGCCACTAGGCTCCTCCCATAGAGTGACCCTTCAAGCCTAGATCCCTGGGTACCAGAAACTCAGGAGGACAAGGAATGAGATACACAGCACTTCAAGAAAGCAGCTCACGAATCTGCAATGTGGGAACTTCTGAGGGTCAATCAGTTCCATGTCCATAACAGGTCAAAGGTGGGTGGAATGTTCTAGATTATGAGAGATTCAAAAGACCTTACATACAACTGCAATGTGGGGACCCTGTTTGGATCACATTTGAGTAACCAGATTGCAAAAAGAGTTTTAGGAAAACTAAGGGGAATTGAATCTAGACACGCACTGGATAATAAGAAGGAAATTTGGTTGGTCTGGGCAGGTGTGATAGCAGCATGCTGTTCGAAGCAGAATGTAGTTTTGAGGGTGATGCTTCCTGACATATTCGGGAGTCAAGGATCATGAGGTCTGGGAATTAAAAAAGCACACTTCAGCAAAAATACAGCTAAAGCCCTGGAGCAGCATGCCAGTCACTGTGAAGTATACGTGATGGTTCCACTCCGTCATACATGTCTCTCCAACTTCTAGCATGCCTAGAAATCTTGATAAAAAGCAGAACACATTTCTGCTTGGAGGGGAGCTTATCTGCTTGTAGAACCAGTTTCCTGTGGCGTGAGGCTCCTGCATGGCAGGGCCCCCACTGGCTCTGTACCCTGGGCCTGGGGCTGCCATGACCACCTGGGGCTGAGCCCATCCAAACTCAGCCTTGTCTCGGGGCTCCCACAGCCTCTCGGCTGTGGTTTCCATGAGCATTAAGGGGTAATTTCTTTGAGCATTAATGGTCTCACGTCTGGTCTGTCAAACCCATGACTTCTTGGCTATTGCTACTAAATGAAACATTTAAGCATAAAAAGCAGGAAGGTAAAAAGTAAGTTATAGGGCTGAGCAGGTTTGAAGAGAAGACTGTGCCTGCTCCCACCCAAGCAGGGTCGGCAGCTGTCCCCTGCTGTACCCCACTGCCCCAGTGGCTCCCTTCATCTCCCAGGTATGGTCTCACCTGTCTGAGGGAGGGGTGGTCCCACATGCCTCCCCAGGCCTGAGTGAGACTCCTGTGGCTGCATGGTACAGTCCTGGGCTCCCACCTGTCCTTGCTGTGCACCTGCCTCCCACCCCCAGGGGGTCCAGGGCAGGGGCTGGACCTCACACCTCTGCCTCTTAGTGTCTGCACAATGCCAGAGTGGGCCCCGAGGGGATGCAGGGGACGGCCTGCCAACCCTTGCTCACTGAGGCCTCCAGCACCCATCTTGGCTCCGTGTGCACCACAGGGGTGTGTTTATAGGAGGCGCCTTGCACCTGCAGTGTCACCTGGCAGGAGCTCAGTGGCCCAGGCTGATGGCAAGTCTGACAGGTGTCCAGTTCAGGACAGCCCAGCACCGCCCCCAAGAGGTTTCACAGGGTAGTGCAGCCAGAGTGTGGACCTGTCCCAGGCCCAATCTAGGTTCCTATCTCTGGAGTGCAGGTGCTGTGGCGCACCCAGCACCCACCTGCACCCACACTGTCCAGCTCCCTTAGAGGCTGCAGCCCCTGCCTGTGGCACCCACCTGCACCCACACTGTCCAGCTCCCTCAGAGCCTGCAGCCCCTGACCCTGAGAGCAGGGTAGAGGGGGTCTTTCCGCTTCAATGGATGTTTCATGACCCAGGGGAGGTGCCACCTGTGACAAGCCACCAAGTTTGTGATCTTTCTCCATGTTCATCGGGTCGTGTCCCTGGGGACAGGGAATAATGCTGCACGCTGTGCATTGGAAATCATGTCACCAGCCTGAGCGAGCAGGCCTTCCAGAAAGACTATTACAGCCAATAAAAGTCCACGTGAGGGTGAAATAAAACTCATCCGTAATGGAGAAATCAATAGGTAATTTGCTCCAGCAGTTCAGTCAAGGTGGTGGATGTACTTGCTGTGGCTTGGCTGCTCCCTACGCGGCAGAGGCCCCTGCTCAAAGGGGCGGTACAGGGAGTGCACCTAAGGACACGCAGCCGGGTACGTGGGGAGGGCGGGGAGTGCACCT